CTTTCTGCCTCACTGAATCTCCACCTCATTAAAAATCTTAAGTGAAAACCTCTTTTCTCCCTTAGCTATTTAACTCTAATTTATCTCACTCTCCATTGTATTATTTAACAGCTGTGTTAACTCTAAAGCATTGTGAAAGACCATGTGTGTGAAAAACCAATTAACAATAAGTTGATATTGTAGGCAGTGCTGGTAGCACTGTTTGGTACAAAGGCTGCTAGCACTTCCTATATAAGATAACTTTGCCAAACTGTCTGTACTGAAATGTTTCATGCTGAATGTCTACCTCGGGGGGGGGGAAATTAATTTTCAGACAAAATGGCTCAGCCGTTTATGCAAATGAGGATAGGGAAAAATATATTGCAGCAGAAGGAGGAGATTAGAACAAGGAGCTGGTGGGGAGAGGGAAGAGACTGAGACAAGTGGATGGGGAGAAAGAAGAAACAGGGACTGGGAACTGGGGTGGGAAGATTGGGACTGGCTGGGAAAGGAGATTGGGACTGGGAGAAGACTGAGATCAGATGAGGAGCTGGGGGGGGGGGTGAGGGGGAGAAGATTGGGACTGAGAACCAATGCGGGGGGGGGGAAAGAGACATCTGATGTGGAGCCAGGGTGGTGGTGGTGGTGAACTGCGAATGACTGAGAGAAGAGACTGGGACAAGAAACTGGGGGAAACACAGAATGGAAGAGGAGTCTGAGGAGGGAGAATGAACTGGGGAATGTGGGTGGGGAGATATTACTGGAGGCCAAGATTGAGGAGAGAGAGAAATCTGAGAAGAGAAAAGGAGCCCAGGATTACCAAGTCTGAGGTGTGGCAACTGACTGAGTAGATAAAGAGAATAGAACTGGCATAAGAAGCCAGGGTGGAGAAGAGACAGGTCTGTGATAGCCACAGGTTGGAGGGGAGAGGGCAGAAGGAGTCATACTGGGGGAGGAGGGGCCAGTGAGACACGGAAGGCTCTGTGCCCACTAGAAAACACTCTCCTCCAAAGCCTGGAATAGAACCCAAGATTCTTGAGTCTCACCATTCCTCTGTTGTCAGAAAATAGCTGTGAAAACCACCGACAAAGTGTCCCATCCCCCTCTAGTGCTGGTCCTCACAGAGGATGACAACCTCCTACAGTTACCAGTTACTCTGTCAGCTCAAGTGGCAGAGATCTGTGCGCCAGATCTGAAGGTTCCAATCCTGCTGATGACTCATGAGAGTGTCAATATCGTGCAAAAAGCAGTATGTGATCATGTAATTAAAGATGGTATCATAATGCATATGCAGAAAGGGGCTGAATTAAGGTTGCACAAGCAACCTTACCTTCTGGTCTTTTTTAACTTTTCAGTGCTTGATTTTGCAACCCTAATAATGTTCTTTAAATGTAATTTGTGTGTGTGATTATAAATATATTGAGCCTCCACCACTTCTTTTGCTTAAAACAACAAATTACCTATAACTTCCAAATATACATTTTGGAGCTTCAGTTATGACAACCACCTGAATAATTAGCTATCAAAGACTGCTATTTACCTCCACCATTAGTTACAACCGTGCTCCCTCGGTTCTCCTGGTACTCTCTCTCTCTTCGCAGTCTCTGCTCTTTAGTGATCTCTGCCACTCGCAGAGGGAGGTCTGAGAACTCATCTGTAGGCTTTAAAAAACAGACAAAAAAAACCACACACTCTCATCCTGGGCATCATCTTTCAGTTAGTTTTCTAACTTGGGCCTCCACTCCACCAGTCCTGCTGGATTTTGCTCCCTAAAACTATTAATTTAAAAGAGACACAACTGAAATGTACCGTTTTTAAATCAGGTCGATTTAGGACCTCTCTTCCATGAAGAGTCTGTCTATAGTTTTAATTTATTTTCCCTCTGAAATGAATACATATGCTAAAAACATTCCAGGCTGGATTCTGAAGGCCCTTGTAAACACCAGGCTAAGAGCACAGTTCGCAAGAACACCCCAGGGTTGGATTGCAGCCATTTGCATAGCTTCCCCAACAGGACAGAACAGGCTGGCTCCTGGCTTTCTCCCAGTACCCTTCTTCCTTGGAGATCTGATCTTGTTTCTTCTAAACGGTTAAGAGACAATCTATTTGGCCATTTGAAAAAGCTACATATAAAATCTTATTTGGAAAATCTGTGCTCTGTTTACCTGATTTTATTTTAATTAAACAGAAGCTCTTGAGTAATGGATAAAGATTACATATGCTAATATAATGCAATAACTAGCTCATCTTTTTGTAATTTTTCTTATCACTTGTTTATATTAATTCATTTCTACCAAGTGCTCTTCTATATTTTCTCTTAGGTTTACACTTTTGTTTTGATTTTTAAAAATGTTTCAATAAAAAATATTAGTAAAAGAACAAAAGATCCATTTAATATAAAAATGGTGCTAATTCTTTTTCCAGGAAATCAAAAGTAATCTGTGAACTATGGAAATTACATTTTTTATTATACATAAGCACCACTCCCTGAATATTCTTCCAAATCTATGGCTTCATTATTTGTTTCCTGTACAAATATTGCCACCCAACAAAAATAAAGAAACTACACTTACTTCATTCCCTGACCATCTTTTGTCTCCGCTGTCCACACTATTGAAACCAGAATCTAGTGCTCCATAGGGACGACTGGAGTACAGTTCCTCATGGCTGTCAAGCAGATAATTTTAGTCACTATAATGTAAATGTCACTGAAAAATTCCTACTTGTGACAGAGCTGAAAATGGAGTTAACTGTTGAGCAGAGCTGAGCGGTGTCCACAACACATTAGAAGTTGTCACATGGCATTCACCATGCATAATACTTTCTAAGAGGATATGTTCTTCCAACTACAAACATTCCCAACTGTTAGCCAACTGACATGATGCAGCTGCCTTGTGCTTTCAAGAGCTGATCTAAGCCTATCCCCCAAACAATTCTGACAAATGTTTTTTTTTTTTGGCAAACTGACCTACTAAATTCTCCTTTAGCAAGTCAGTTCATTTTATGTTACTCAGGTGTTTTAGTTGAACGACTCTTCCCAACCCCATTCCCAAAACCATTTTGTCCCCAGAGGGAACCACAACCATACATGTGTATTTATTACACATACATATACATGTATAGGAATGAGCATGCACCTCTTTTAGAAGAAGTATGACAACATTCAAAATGTATACTTTATACATCTCTTTTCTGTATCATGCATTATTAATCTAAAATACTCCATAAAAGACACCACAGACGTTTCAAATGAAATATATCATCACTTGAATGATATACAAATGTAGTTTTCACCCATTAAATTGACTTGTCAATGACTTGCCTAGGCACAGACATTACATATGTGCAATGAAGGGATGAAAATATAAACCATAACATAAGGGGCTGTATGGTGCTTTTCCTGCTCTAAGTGGGTACAGAGACTACACAGTTCAGCAGCGTGGCCATCACAGATGTCGAATCTGGCAACTGCTACAGATAGTGACAGCAGCAGTAGAACAATGGGACTTGTCTGATCCACTGCAGATGGCATTTCACAATGGATCAACTGTCCTGCTGGCACTTGATGCCCCAGGGAAACAGCAATTACTGCATAATTCACAAGTAAGAATGTCAGGAAGCTGATTGCTCCACCCAAGCATAGCTAATTGTAGGTCATTCTCTCACTGGTACTGATCTCTAGTTGTCCCTCTGTTTAAAAATCCCTCATCCAGGAAACAATTATTTTAAAATGACTGTTATTACTATTATTTATGCAGCACCATAGAGTTATGGTGCTTTATAGAAAAACGAGACAGACTACAGTCCTAAGGAGTTTGCAGTCCTAGTTAGACACAGGGGGTATGTCTACACTGCAATTAGACACCCGTGGCTGGCCCAGGCTCCTGGAACTCAGGCTAAGAGGCTGTTTAATTGTGGTGGACATTCAGGCTCAGGCTGACGCCCGAGCTCTGGGACTCTCCCACCTCGCAGGGTCCTAGAGCCCGGCCTGCAGCCCGAACCCAAACGCCTATACTGCAATTGAACAGCCCCTTAGCCTGAGCCAGCTGGCTCAGGCCAGTCACGGGTTTTAATTGCTGTGTAGACATACCCAAGGAGAGGTTACTCAGAATGTGCCATAATGGTGGTTCTTTGAGATGTGGGTGCTACACTTCAAGTATGCTTATACCACTTGTGCCTTTGATGGGAGATTTTTGGTAGCAGTGCCCATTCAGCCCATGCATGCAATTCTATGCTTCCTTATGCCCTGCTCTGAAGATACATAAGGCTACATGGGTGAACTGCCCTCAGTTCCTTCTCCACTGCCAAGTCCCCAGAGGAAACTCTGAAGCAGAGGGGAATGAAGGCAAGTAATGGAACACCTATACGGACACACACAGTGAAGAATTCCAGTTACTGCACAAGGCAAGTAACCTCTTCTTCTTCGAGTAGTGTCCCTCTGGGTGCTCCACTTCAGGTGACTACCAAGCAGTACCCCCAGCTGGAGGGGGGTCTCTGGAACCAAGTCCAACATTGAATACAATACAGCATTTCCAAGGGCAGCATCTGATCTAGAAGACTGGACCACTGCATAATGCTTGGAAAAGGTACGTATGGAAGACCAAGTGGCAGCCTTACAAATATCCAGAACAGAAACATTCTTGAGTAATGTCGTAGAAGTAGCTACGGCTTTTATGGAATGGGCCAACAACCTTGAAAGAGCTGAATATATGAAGTTATAGCACAAAAGAACAGAATCAGAAATCCACCTGGAGAGTCTCTAGGTAGAAATCGCTGAATCTTGGGATCTATCAGCAACAGTCACGAACAGTCTGCGTGACTTCCTAAACGACTTAGTCCTTTCGAAATAAAAGGCTAATGCCCTTCCAACATCCAGAGTGTGTAAAAAAGGCCTCCGCTCTGGACTGATGAGTCTTTGGGGGGGAAAATGGAGGGTGGATAATCTGGTTGATGTGCAGCTCATATGACACCTTAGGTAAAAATCTTCTGAGATAAATTAATGAGGGAAGAGGTAGCCATTGGCTCAAACGGGGGGCATAGGGCATCAAAGTACTGCAGTCAAATCCCAGATAGGAATGGATTTCTTAACTTGGGGGAAAGAGTTTCCCAATCCTCTCAGAATCTTACAGTTGTAGGATGGGTGAAGAGTGAGAATCCCTCAACTGCTGAATGAAAGGCTGTTACAGCTGCCAAGTGCACACTGAGGCCTGGTCTACACTGGGCGGCGGGAGGGGGGACTAAGTCAGTCTAAGTTATGCAACTTCAGCTAAGAAAATAGCGTAGCTGAAGTCGACGTACTTAGAGCTACTTACTGTGGTGTCTTCACTGTGGTAGGTTGACTGCTGCTGCTCCCCCGTCGACTATGCCTACGCATCTCGCTCTGGTGGAGTACCAGAGTCGACGGGAGAGTGCTTGGCGGTCCATTTATCGCATCTTCACTAGACGCGATAAATCGACCCCCGGTGAATCGAACGCTCTGCCCTAAGTGTAGACATGCTCTGATAGAGCTCATATATAATCCTAACTTTTTCAGCACTAGGAGGTAATCAAGGATGATCAAGGTGGGAGAATGAACAGGTGAAACACTTCTGGACACACCACATGCTGAATCTTTTCCATTTGTGGAGGTAATTGTATTTCATGGAATCTTTCCTACTGTTCAACAATACCTGTTGCACTTCCCAGTTCATCACAGATGCATCCATCATTATGATGATAGAGGGAGGAGACTGAACAAATGGAATCCCCATGCAGACATTGTCTAGGACCCTTCATCATTTGAGTGGAGACTAAGACCTGGCGAGGAACCGACATTAACTTGTTCAAGTTGTGTTTGTTTGGAGTATAAACAATCCTGAGTCAGCTCTGGAAACACTGTGATGGTATGTTCCAGACTCCATCTTTGACGGTGCAGGCTGCTATATGTCCAAGGAATTGAAGACAACTTCTTATTGGGTCTGTAGGCTAATTTGAATGTTTGAGACAAGATTTGCTAACATCGAGAATCTGTTGGAGAGGAAGATAAGCCCTGGCTGGTGTAGCGTCCAAGGAGGCGCCTATGAAATCTATTCTTTGTATGGGGCTCAAATGGGATTTCTTGGATGTTGAGCTTAACCCTAGTTTGCGGAACAGGGATCTCATTGTCTTTATGGCATCAAAAACCCCATTGTAGGACCAGCCCATAACCAGCCAGTCATCGAGGTACTGACAGAAAGCCCTCCACATGACTACTGCTGTAGAGGGGCAGTGTTGGCTGGATCCAATAAGTCCTTTAGCTTTATTTTAGTTAACAGCTGACGCTAGTTAATAATAGCCTGAAACTGGTCATGCTCATCAGCCATGCTCAGTAAAGGTTGTGAATTTGCTATAACTTGAATGACTGTATTTAGCCATGAGAGCTTGATAGTGTGTGATGCTAAATTGAAGAGTCACAGATGAGTCTTTCTGCCGAATAGATCAAGGTGTTTTTGGTCCTTATCATACAGTGTGGTCTTTGCACGATGTTGTTTGCCATGTTTTTTCACTGCTTCCACAACCAGGGAGTTCAGTGTTGGATGGGTGAACGGAAATTCGGAGTCTCTAGCTGGGACATAATATTTTTATAGGCCCTTTTACAAGCTGGTGGAATCGTTGCAGGGATCTGCCAGATGGATTTGGCAGGGTTCAGAGCCTCATTAATAGGCAGGACAACTCAGGTGCAGGGAATCCATTGGAGGATGTCCAGGACCTTATGTTATGACTCTGTGACCTCTTCCAAGGGATCTGGAGGGAATCTGAAATGTGCTTCATTAACTCTTGGACGTGTCTGAAGTCATCAGCCATAGTTGGTTGGGGAGGCATAACCGCTTCACCTGGGGAAGATGAAGGAATATTTGTTTGGGGAGAAACTTCTTTATCTGTCCAGGCCTCCTGCTCTTCAAAGGATTCTTGTGCCTGAGGTAATGGAAGAAAAGCAGTTGGAGTAGGGGAGCCTCTCCCTCTATACTCCCCATGAGAGAGACTATGGGCATGTACAATTGCAGATGATTTGCAGCCCAAGGAACCCAGTATGGCCACTGGAGAGGTTCGAAAGGCATTGGGGGTGGTAACCATTGGTGCTCAAACCAGGTTGGGGGAACATGGGTCTATCTGTGGTACAAATCCCTACTCTTGTCAAAAGTGTCAGGATGGAAATTCCTTGTCTGAAGCGTCAGGGACCCCCTGGATTGAAATATCTGAATTGGAGGAAAATTCCTCCTCTTCAAGTGGGGGAGCCCCAGCACTCTCTAAAGGCATTGGAGAGTCAAGTGGTACTTAGAAAAGGTCCCACTTCAGTGACCGTGCTTGTCTCGGTACCGAACCTTTCGCTACCAACTAACAAGGGAGATTCCGGTTCCTCCGAAACAAGTAGATCCTTTGAAAATCTGAACTCCTGTGGTACCAGGTGGATTTGAAGAGTGGGACTATTGTCAGTACCGAGGCCATACGCTGCTCTGGTAAATCCACTCTGGTTGAAGTAGTCAGTACTGATGTGAGGCCTTGGGAGGCGTTCAGACCATACGAGAGACACAACATCTTCCCAGTATTGAGGCAGTCTTAGCTGTTGATGGTACCAAAGGAATTCTGGGTACCATTCTCTTAGAGGCGGAAAGCTTTGATGATGCATGGTCCTGCTTGTGCAGCACTGA